GCAGTCGTTCAGGTACAAGCATGTTCCGGTTGGTTTTCTGGCTCTTCTAACCCTGTCAAGTTAGTCAGTCTAAGCTCTCATTTTAAGAATGTCCTTTTATTTAGAATTGGTCAATTTGCTGCAGTGTTGCAACGTGAATTATCAATGAGTGTAAGCCAATATGCCAATGCTGTATTAGTTAAAACCTAAATCTTCTTTTAATCTAGGGTTCTGATGTGTAACAGTTTAGTGGTTTCAGAGACTAAATAACAGAGTTGGGGGAGAAAGGGCAGAATTTCAAGTAACGGAGATTCTTTGGCATAATTTTAGTAAATCTCCCTGATGCCAATCAATCTAGAACACATAATAGTGAGTGTTAAGGCAATATGCATTTGACCAGGAAATCCTCATAACTGACACCACAACTGGATGGCTGGCCATGAGGCTTTGGCTCCCTCCAGTCCCTTTTGACAGCCAGCAGGGAGAACCAAGAAAGGTAGAGATTGTTTATGGGGTTTGTTCAGCATAAACCAGAAATGAAATCTTGTAAATTTCATTTCTGTTGGTTTTGCCTGTAATTAATTCTTAAGAGGTTGTGGTTCTAGCCTTAGGCTCATGCTATTAAATGTAAGATTGGTGGTTAATAGTGTCACCTGTGGTGACTTAAGGATGAAGTACCTGAACTTGCTTGCATCACCAAAAGCTGGTAGGATGATACTGATGGATCCATTTTGATGCAGCAGCCAGCTATTCAGTACAGATTCAACCTAAGGAGAATGAGCAGGGAGGTAGTATGGCCATGCTGTTTTCCTCCAACTCAGAATACAGCAGTACAGCAGAATTGGATAAAATATGTTGTCTTTATTTTGTGTGTGAGTCTTGGAATGGAGATAATTTGGCACTAGTTTTTGGGTGCTTATCAACCCATTGCTCTCCCAGACATTGGCATGAACTATGGAAGCTTCTAACCATAGTGTTGTTGGAGGAATTGAGGCTGATAGTTACACAATGACTTTAACATCCATCGGGATGATAAAATCTTGGTATCATCTCTGAAGTTCCTGATGGCCATGTAACTATGTGAACTGATAGCTACTGGCTCAGTTCACATAGTTGCACTCTTGATCTAGTGTTTTGAACTGGAGCTCAAGCTTAGGCAGTTGGAACCCAGGCTCAGTGTACTGGAGAAATAGCCCCCTACAGTTTGAGTTTAGGGTGCACCAGTCCTGTCAGGGGATGGACCTGTTTTAATGGTCCCCACTCAAAGACTAATGAAAGTAGAGCACCTCTAGGAGGCTCTGTGGGAAGATATTCCTGTGAAAGATCACTATTGAGGAGTTGGTAGAATATTGTAAACATTTATCATCCATGATTTATACAGTGTGTCCTATACACCATCTTATCTGGCTTTGCCCTCATGGATTGCCTTGGTCTGCAGATAACCTTTCATGGGTGAATGATGACAGCAAAGTCTCCAGTGACGGAAATCTGGGGCTGATGTTGAGAGATTGAATCATAAAGTCTTTAAATTCTTATGCCATGGTTATGTGGGAGGCAAAGTAAAGATTCTTTGCCTCTGCGATATAATCCAAAACATCTCAATCAGTAGATTAGGTTTGGGTGACAGATAGCTTGTTGATCAGAGCTGCCTTCACGGGGTAGTTGGTAAAGTTCTTCCAGTTATGAGGGATATGTTGTGAATAAAACTGAGCAGATCTGGGCTTGGCTGCCTGCTACTGTGAATGGGAGGCTACTACAGTGATCAGGAGTCAAGTTCAATCTAATTCAATGAGAGCTATTAGAAGTGTTTTGCTGTCCTTTTTAATTCACTTCATTCTTGGCAGGTAAAGGTCAGCAGAAGAGTAGTAGGTCCATTGCTAGTGGAGATTGTTGACCACCTCCTTCAGACTGGACATATAGGTGGTATCTGTTCAGGGAGCTGTTGTGCAACCTTTGCTCAAGAAACCAATATGTAACATTGGCAATGTGGTTAAATGCCACCTGCTGTCTAGTCTCCCATTTTTGGTTAAGGTGATAGAGACAGTTATGAGTATCTAGATGCTCCAGATCTGCTTGAAACTTTTCAATTTGGTACAAACTTGGGTTTGGACTGGCATTGGTAGTAATGGTGGATGATCTCACACTGACGTGTGAAGATCCTGGTGCCTGTGCTGATAAATCTGCTGTTTTCAATACTGTTCACTATGAAATGTTACAGATTTGCTGTAGACTGTAGCAAGAGTAGGCGTAGCTGCTCTTTGGTGCCACCGTTCCTTCCTTTGCCAAATACTCGCAAAGAGTTGTGTGGCTCTTTATCCCCTAGGGGCAACGTCTTGTGGAGTTCAAGGTTCTGTTTTGTCCCTGTCTCTTTCATCGTGTCCACTGGGCTACCGAGAGGGCTAATGGGGAGGTACTTTCTGTATGCTGATGACATCGAGCTCTGTATCTTTCCCATATAAGCCATACATTACTGTTGAAAGCGGGTTCAGTGTCTGGATAAGATTGGCACATGCATGAGAGCTAGTTAGCTAACTGAAGCGCAATCCAGATAAGGCTGAGGTGATAATAGGTCTGGGGAAGCGACTGGAACATATAGTGACAATTCTATCAACCTCTTTTTTGAGGGTATTCATGACGCTTGTTATTCCTGCCCTGTTTTTCCCTTCCGCTCATTTTCTTTCTGAAAGTCTGGATCAGATGTCAAATGCTTTTTTAGCAGTGATTATTCCCCTTTTAATGCCATATTAGGATATATGGTTACCATGATCTCACTGTTATGATTACGAGTTTTTGTTGCTGCCACTGCTGTATTGAGAAGCTTCATTTTTTCTTCCCACTGGAGCTTCTCTCTATTTTGATAAATCTGCATAATATAGGCCCTTCATTCCAGACTTCTCTGGCAACAGCATTCTCTGCAAGCATATTCATTGGATAGCTTGAAAGCACTGACCCTAAGGATTTTAGTCAATAGAATAAATTATTTGTACTTGAAATTTTTGCATAAAACCGATACTTTAAAGAGCTGTTCTCTTACGTTATTCATCATATACTGAAGCTGTTGGAGTTCTTGTGATATTTTAGCTGCTAATCACTTTAAAGATTTCCTTAAACTTATTTTCTAATTCTAGGGAGAAGATAGCTTACTTCACAAGAGCAAAGATCAACATACCATCCCTACCAGCAGATGATGTATAATTACATTTTTCATTGAAGTATTTTTCCACTTGCTCATCTTTTTTAGATGAACGTTTTGTAGTTGTAGCCTCCTGCTTTTAAAGATCTTCTATTTTACATCCAACTATAAAGATGTTCATTTGTAAAATACAGCGAACTGAGTTCTTGTATGTTAAAAGGCGCAGAAAAACAAACAAACCACAACTACCAGAAAACCAAAGTAGAACAATTCTGGTACACCGATGCTAATTTTGTACAGTTTGTATGTATCGCATGTGTGCTCTTATTTTGTAAAGATGGAACAAAGGAAAGTGTGTATCCTGTTGAACCGCACTGTGTTGAGAAATATTACGTTCAACAGAAGATTGTTTATCTTTTCACTATTTTCACGTGAGCAGACTGTGAAGATGGCTGTTATGCCATGCAATATTTTTGTACAAGTGTGACTTTTATAGTTTGAAATTAACCATGAATGCAAGCTCCTTTCCAAAACAGCAAGGCTGCCTCGTAACAGGTGCTGTTTAGATTTCCGTCACCTACATTGGGATTTTTGTTTCTGAAAACGATTTCGTGATTGTCCTTTTTATTTCTATGAAGAAAGAACATGGAATACTGAGTGCAGGAATATCATTTTGTGAATGTACAGTACTTTGGGCTGCACTGTACAGTACTTTGCATCTGCAAGGTGGGGTGGGGGAAGGGAAGGGTAGACCAGTAACCCTAAAACCTCTTATAGTGAAACTACCAAAAGGGCAGCTGCTTTCTGAAACTGAAGCTGAATCAAATTCACATCAAGGTGTTTATATATGAGTAGTCATACCACTGCGCTGTAAAATCTTACATTTAAATGTAACCTTTTGACCTAAATGTTTTTTACATACTGCTTGTTGACAAAAGTAAACAAGATCAGGTTCATGAAAAATTAAATCTGTGCTGTTGTCAGAAGAGGAAAAACTACCCATCAAATTCATAATGACTCCACTGACTCAAGTACCAGAAGTATTGTTGGTATAGAAATCCATACCGGAAAAGTCTGTGACCTAGAAAACCAAATATTTCAGTAGGATTTGTACTACAGTTCTCATTATTTTTTTTAAAGTAAATAAAACACAAGCTGTTTTTCAGAATAATGATGGTTCAAGTTGAACAAGCTTAAGGAGTAAATGTGAACAAGATGTCTATCAAAATAGAATTTTAGCTTATCTGACCAGACTTTTTTGTTACAAAATGTGGGTGTGCTTGTCATAGTCCCTGGGGAAGCATGCTACTGCATCAGATGTGGAATAAAGCATCTACAACACACTGTTTGGTAAAACAAAACTTTGTGGTTGATCTTATCGCCAAAACGATGTAACTAAACTTGTATCTACAGTACATAATCTCTGAAGATTTTTGAAAAAAATGTTAAATTCAAAGTTGTTGTTGTTTTTTAATTCTGTGGATAGAATCTTTGTCTTTAACCTACAGATTATATTGACAAGCCACCTATACATAGTACTTCACTTTTCCAGAAAGTAATTAGTCTTGTTGAAAGATGAAGAGAACATAGCTACAATATGTTTGCAAATGACTTCTAAGTTCAAGGTAAGAAAATTCTGTGCCTAGAATCTTTTGTTAAACACATCAAGGATTTTCTTGTGCTACACAAATACATTTATTATTTCAAATCCTTTAAATGTATAACTGGATGCCACACAGTTTTGAACAAGTGCCAGTCAGGCCAACTGACTGAGCATAATTCTTCATGGATATCCATTTATTGCTGTTCTCTCTTTCTTTTTTTTTTTTTTTTTTTTTTTAAGACTTACTTAGAAACAAGAAGTATATGT